CAGCAGGCTTGGAGGATGCTTGGGCATGTGGGACTGAGGTCCAGGCCAGGGTTGTGAGCTTGGAGGCCTCTGTGTTAGGCTCCTCACCTTTGTGGTTCTGTGTATCTGCAGCCACGTGAGGCCCTGGGAGCCCTGGGAGATGAAGTTCGGCTGTCTGTCCTTTCAACCAACAGCCTTTGCACGTTTCATCTTATATAGTGTCAAGCCCTGAAGAGGCAGTGGCAGCCCATGCTATGCAGACGCCAGCTCTGTACTATGGCTATCCACATTGCACAGTGGGACTGGTGAGTGCGGCCTGGCGGGAAGTGCTGGAGCAGAGGCTGGCAGTGAGCCCTGCCCAGATCCAGGCCTTGCTGTGGGACAGGGACAAGTTCGACCTTGGAGTGATTGCAGGCAAGTGATGCGCTTCCCTGTGCTGCCCGAACGGCCCCAGTGCTGCCCTGGGCTTCAGCCAAATTGTGCTCATTTGTTTTCTGTTGAACCAGTTGGTGGGGTGGAGGGGTGCTGAGGTTTCTTCAGAGAAGCAGCAAGGTTCCCTTGTCTGGGAAGCAATAGCCCAAAGTGCCTGACCACCTCTCTGGGCCTCAGTCCCCATTTGTGCTCTGAGTCAAAGGCAGGTCCATGTCTGTATGTGGCACTTGCCTGTGTGTGTGTCCCCATGTGTGTGTGTGCCCAGCAGAGACCATCAGAGGCAGGAAAACACCCAGCCTGGGTTCCCCACCCACACTGCCTGTTGCAGGCCCCGAGCAAGTCACCTGACTCCCCAGGAGTGAGGCCACACAGCAATACATGTCTGTTGGTGAATTTCTTGTGGACCTGATGCCCGCAGGCTCCCCCTGGGGCCCTCCTGCTCTGTCCCTGTGGCCTGTAGTGGTCAGACTGAGAGCTGCCCATGGCCTGGTGGGTTTGTGGAGCACCAGGCCTCTCCCTTTCATTTTGCTCGTTCCCTCATTTGGCCTTGCCCTGAATTCCCTTTGCCAAGATGAGCCCAATGGAAATGCTTATCCAGAGGACCCAGTTCATCTTGGGTCCCCTCCATGATACCGCTTTAGTCTCTAGCAGGCGTGACTTTGAATCATCTTGTTCTCCTTCCGTGTCCTGTTTTGCACACAGGTACCATGGACATTGGGGACACTTTGCTATGCCCAGAAAACCTAGACCCAGTGAGATGGAAGAGGTGGAGAATCAAGCCTTGGTACCTGAACTTTGACAAAAGTACCTGACTGTGCTTGCCAACCCCCGTTGGCTGCTGCAGCCCATCCCTGGGAGGGACGGGAAGGACATCTTCCTGGTGGACATCCCCGAGCACCTGATCCCCTTTGGGCAGGAGGCCTGTCCAGGCTGGGCTCTAGAGAGGAAGGTGACCAAGATACCAGGTCATGGTGACACGGTCCAGTCACCACTGCGCCCTGGACGTGCCCGTCTGGTTCGGTCTGAATCAGCCCCACCCTGGGGTGTGCTGCCAGCTTGGTATGGGTTGGGGAACCGGGACAACCCTCGTGTGGTGCTGCTCTGGACTCAGCGTGAGTCTCTAAGACTGACTTTTATGATAAAATGGCGTCATCACTCACTTTGGCCCTGCTGGGTCTGGGTGGTTGAAAGAAATGTCTTGTTGGGAAACTGCTTAGTGTTTTTCCTGTCTGTTCTGGTTCAAACTCCCCAATGTTGGAACAGTGTCCTGTGGGTGAAGGGGAAGGCTGGGGGTGGGGCTGAACATCAGCAGGCAGAGAGGCTGGCAGGCCCAGAAACAGGCTGCAGTTTGTCCTTGCAGGTGACCCTTGCCCTTTTCTAATGTGCCCCTTGGCTCACAAAGGGTGTGTGCTGGATGCGGTTCCTGGCCACCTCACGTCCAAAGACAGGCTCCTAAATATACCTGTGAGGGCAGAGCGACAAGGGCTGGTGTTCACCTTGTGGAATCCTTGTACTTGTCTTTGGGTTTGGGGTCATGTGTTTGCAAGGCTTTGTGGGTGGGGTGGCCCTGCTTTCCGGTCAGCTTCTTGAGGTGAGGCCCCTGGATTGACAGCTGGAGATGCTCAGCTGCAGATCAGAAACTTGTGGCATCATTGGGGGACCCAGGAGGAGCCCCTTCTCCTTCAGGGTGCATGACTCATGGAAGGTGACACCCCCCAAGGTCAGGAGCCCAGCTGGGCCAACTGCTGAGCAGCAGGCAAGGTCCAGTGACCAGCCCATCCTGGGCTGGCCTCAGCACTCAGCTATTGAGCCAGATCCTTGGCAAAGCATGTGAATTGCTGCTGCTTCAGTTGAAAAGGGATCACAGGGACCAGACTGAAGCCTGCATGGGGTGTGGGCTTCCAGCCTCATCTGGCTCACCCTGTATCATGTGAATAGTGTGGACAGACAAAAAGAACACAGACTCACAGTTCTTGTCAATTCTTTATTTACTCCTGTGGAGATTTGCTCCACTTTATTAGAACCAGGAATCAATTTTTTTTATTACAAGAGAGTACTTTTGCGTGTCCCTAGGAACCTGGGAGGTCAAGTATTGGGCTTGTCCTTGACCTGCTCACAGAGGACACATTTGTAATCAGGATTCTCCCTGCTCCTCCTCTGCTGAAGGGGCCTCGTTTGGAGCTGTGAGTGAAAGGGCCACCATCAGGATGGAGGAACAGGTGTTGTACAAGGCCATTACTGAGTCACAAGCTGGGAACTCCAGGGGGCTCTTGGGCATTTGCCCTGTGCTCTCCCTTCCAGAAGTAGCCAGCTGTACAGACGTGGAATTGCTAGACATGCCCTTTCCACTGGGGCCACCCTGCTCGCTGGGGAGATGGTTTGCCCTAGCCTGCCCAGCTACACTGCCCATAGACCAAAGGTGAGAGGACACAAATGATCGTCGGCTGGGGGTTCTGTGAGCAGGTGGGGTTCCCTTCTGGACTTTCTTGCCCACCTGTTGGTGCAAGTTGTCGTGGAGTCGAGGAGAGTGTCTAGTCGCCACTGCTCACTTCTTTCTCTTTAGGATGTTCTGCAGGAGGAGAGGCTTGTCTCTCTGAAAATTGGAGTTGTAATAGATCTGAAAAGAAATGAATCACTTTAGACAGCAAGGGGGAGAAGAGGCCTTCCTTGCTGCCTTCCTCCCTAACACTGTCCTGGCCATGCCTATGTATGGAGACAAGTTCTCTTCATTCTGGCAGGTTATGAGGCCCTAACATGTTACTCCATAGAGCTCTCCTGGGGCCATCCTCCCCTGAGGCTTTACTGGCCTTCCCTGACTTCAAATGGCCCCTCAGGGTCTAGAGTCACCCCGGTGGATCATGTCTCATGGGGGTGGAGGAACACGACAGACCCTGGTTCTCCTCTTTCCTTAACCATCCTCTCATGAGAACAATGTTCTCCTGGGAAATGAAACCCATCCAGCACTCAGGTCATCTAGTCTAGCCTACCTAGAAGGGCTTTCTACATTACCACGAAGTTATTCTCTGCAGAGCAACCCAAAGGGCAGATTTTAATGAAACCACACAGGTTCGGTTCATAGATGAAACTCTTAATGCTGTCTGTCTTGAAGATGTGGCCCATGCCTCTGCACAGAAGGACCTCTGTCTGAAAACGATCTTCCTTGATGACCACCATGTCTCCCTCGTCATTCCAGTGCACAGAGGTGAAGGCCAAATCCTCCACGATCCTCCAGAGCTTCCTGGGGAAGGACAGCCCGAGGATATCATTGTTCTCTTCCTCGGCCATTTCTGGGTTCGGGCCCTGTGGGGGCAGATTGTCATGGAGGCCTGGATCGGGGCTCTCAGGTTGGTCACCCTGCTTCTCCAGAGCCTCCCCTGAATCCATGTTTGGATCTGGGGAGGAATCACAGGGATCCCCTGCTGCGGGCTCCCTATCAGTTGATGGGGCCAGTGGGGCTGCCCATGCTTCATGGGAACTCTGACTAGCCATGGAGCCAGTCTAGCTCAGGAGCATTATCTACCCAAGCATTGAATGCTCAGTGCAGAACAACCTCCAAACCAGGGTTGGGGTGCCCCACAAATACTCTCTGGAGACTCTAGAATCTGGGTTGTAGGCTAGACAGCCAAGTAAGTGGTCAGCTTCCTCAATTTTTCTCATGATGTCACAAAGGTGATGTGGAGAGGCAGCCCTGGGTGAGGGGGCCTTGGGATGGAGATGGGATCCCCAGCTTGTCTCTTGTCTGAAAGTACAGAAAAGTTTGTTTCTGGTTGCCTGCAAAGGCTCCCATCTGCTGCCAAGTGCCATGTTTCAGGGGGCCAGGCCCTGGATGGGTTGACAAACATGCCCCTGGCCCGACCCTACCAATGTGCAGGCCTGTGGCTGGCTTTTGCTGCAGGGCCAGGTCCTGGCAAGTCCTCGCTCAGCTACCACTGTGAGAGATGCCAGGGGTCTGATGAGCCCGTGGCGACTGTCCCTCCAAGATGATGGGGTCCATAGCAGGCCAGTCAGCCTAGCCTGAGCTGGTGGTCCCACCACCCCCACCCCACTGGCCATGGCCTTTGTTCTCCCCCCTGTTCAGGCTTTGATCTCTTCTTTCTGCTGCTGGTGGTTTAGAAAAGGACAGACTAAAAGTATAGGAAGCAAGAATTCACTACAATATTTTTTTTTAATTTTATTTTCTAATTCTTCCACCAACTATATACTGGTAAGTAAGTTTGTCTGTGCAAAATAATTGTAATCCCAATCCATGTTACCTTGCTCAGGCTCAAAAATAAAATGGGACAGTTTTCAATCTCTTTTAAAAAACAGCAAAACTCTGGTCCTTAATCTGGGTAAGTACAAATACAGTGTGATCAATGCCATTCATGAAGTTAGATATTGAAATTTATTAAGTTTTCAGCCAAAAAGAAAGAAACATTTGAACAATTCCTAAAGAAAACAGAGATGAATCTCTATGTCATCATAGAGAACAGGAACCCAATACTGCTACACACGGGATTCCCCCAACTGGCCCGGGCCCTCACTACTGAGAAAGCTGACCACTCCCTCTTCAGTCACAGAACGAAGGATCACCTGGATGCTCCTCTGGCTCATGGCCCATCTTCCTCCTCCCTCTCAGCCTCTGCAGACAGGGATGGGAAGACCCTGGAAAACCTTTCATTGATCCTGAGCAGATACACTGTGACTTGCCACTTGCTGGTCTCCACATAGGCCCAGGGACCCCACAGGAACTCATAGCGAGCAGGGTCGCTGTCAGGCACCTGCCGGTACACTAGGTAATCCTCCTGCACCCACACGTGGGTCAGCAGCTCCCTGGGATCCCCAGAGACAGAGTGCTCCTTCCCAGGACATGCCCCCATCCTGCTGAGTGTTTCCCAGACCACTTCCTCAGGGGCACAGTCTCCATTTCGGATGATCAGGCTGAGGACCAGCACCCGGAGGCCGGCCTTGGGCATGCTCTGTGCACTGCTCTGCATCACTTCATAGGCGAGGCCCAGGGTGGGGACCAAGACGTAGATGTGCTCTCTGGGGTCCACCTCCTTCACTGCCATGCCAAAGACCAGCTGTAGGCACTGGGAGGCTTTACGGAAAACCATAGGGAAATGGTCCTGATTATCCGTGAGGATCGTATTCAGCATTGGGTCTTGGTGATTAGCTCCTTGGCACAATACTTGAGGAGCAGGAACTTCGCCAGGTTAGCCGTCATCTCTTTCAGAGCTTCCTGGGGCAAGGCCTCTGCAGGGGTTGAGGAGACTGGGGCAGAGGAGGCTGAGGGGGTTTGCAGCCTTCCCCATCTCAGACCCCAGGACCTGTGCCTCTACCTGGCCCTGGGCATCACCTGGGCCCTGAAGGTCTTCCTCAGGCTTGCTCAGCTCAGTCATCTTGATCCCAAGTGTTGTGCCTGCCTGAGATGGAACCACAGACAGGAGAGAGGCAGGGGAAAGATGCAGACCACATGTCTTGAGGAGAGAGGGGGTGTGAGTGGTCTTACCTGTGAAACGCACCCTGGGAAGTCTGAAACAGGTCACTTACAGGTTTCTTCTTGAGGGGTGCTCTTCCAGTGAGGCTGTACACCTGGCTACCTGAAGGAGGAGGGGTGGTGTCTCCCAAGGGTGCAGTCAGCACAGCCAGAGGTTCCTGGGCTGACATGGTTTAGGCATATAGACCTTGTAGTTTCCCCTCTGTTCTGGGAAGGGGTGCCCCTGGTGTACACTTAGGAAACCCTCCTCGCCTTGACTCCTGGCACTTCCTGGACCTCCTCTGCTCTCTGACCTCAGGACATGGGCCTCAGACCTCTGCTTCACCTCTTGGTTCCTGGAGCTCCTGTGAGAGACATGGAGGGGACCCCTGGGGGGTAGACTGAGACATATCCCTGGGCCTTCTGTGCTAGTAGGAGGGGTGGACTTTGTGAGGTCCCCCCCCCCCAGTTGTGGGGTAGGAAGTCCCCTAAGGGCTCCCTTGTAGTGCTCACCTTTCCCCTGGCATGACCTGGTCCCTCCTCTTTGGAGGCCTGCGGGGAAACTCAGAACAAGACCCGAGTCTGAACAGAAAGCGCTGATGGGCCCCACATGTGTCCTCACCTGTCCAGGGCCTCCTGTGGGTCCTGGTCTGGGGAGATGCTCGGTCCTCAGCTCCTCCTCACATCCCGCCTGGTCTCCTAAAACTGACCACAGGGACAGGACAGGAGTCTGCTTAGTTCTCCCTCTGTATCCGGGGAGTGCACCTTCTGCAGACCTGAACATTCCCCACTCTGGCCTAATATCTCAGATCCTGAGGTCCCTAAGCCATAGATCAGGAAATTGCTGATGCCACTCTGGAGCCTCCAAGACCCCCTTCAAAGGCAAGGATCCCTCCCTGTCTTAAGATCTAACCACCTCACTCATTCCTCCTGTGGAGCCTGGACTCCAGGCAGTGTCCGGGATTGTCCCATACACCATTTTGAGACCTTTCTGCATTCATGGAGTCCTCAGTCTCTCTGAGAACCCCATGTCAGGAATTCGACAGGCCTAGTGTGCTCATCTCATACCAAGGTCTCCCAGGGCTGACTACAGGGGCGGGGATCTGTGGGGTTCTGTTGGTCCTCATGCAGGGTCCCTTCTGTCCTCTTTCAGGCACCTCACCTTGCCTCTTGGGAGGACCTGGGATTCTCGCCTCTCCCCAGCTGAAGCTCCGCCCCTTATACCAGGGTCCCAGTCTCTTCAAGACCCAGATGTCAGGAAGACAGACCATGCCTGTTGCATTCATCCTACTCCATGATAGCCCTGAACTGACAACAGAGATGGGCTTCTCTGAGGTCTCCTCTAATTGGGGTCCAACATCCCCTCAGTCCTCCCTCAGGGTCCTTACCTAAACTCCTTCAGAAACTAGGAATCACCCCCAATGTCTGAGGTCTCACCCCTTATATCAACTCTCCAGTGTCTCTGAGACCCAGTACTCAAGTCTACACCAGAGTCATCCCAGGCTATCAGAAGGTTCTGGGACCTGTGGGTTGTAAGTCCCCACTGATCGAGCGACTTTAGACTCTTCCCCCAGGAAGGGGAGACATTCTGGAGGTGTGTGGGTGGCTGACCTGCCTTGCCCTGCCCCTGGGGCCCCTGAGGGCCAAGGACTCAGCCTCATTGCTGTCCAGCCCAGCCTCTATGATGGTCTGGTTGCCACCATCCCACCTACAACCCCCCAGAGCACTGCTCAGAGGCCAGAGGTGCTGCTTGAATGAGGCTAGGGCATCCCCAGGTTTGCTGAGGGCAGGAGCATGCAGAGTTCATCATCTGGCGGGGGGTTGCATGGGGCCTCCAGGGCCCCCCTGACTGGGACCTCAGACCCTGGGGGTCGGGACCTTCCTTCCCTATCCAGAGGCTCAGCGGATGGCTGAGCACCTTGCTGCCCAGTCACAAGACGTGCTTGTGGGTTTGGGTGTGGACAAGACCCAGGCTGTGGTGTCTCATCAGCCTCCCTGCCAGTTTGTAGTTCAATTCATCCAAGGGCCTTGTCTCATGACAGTTCCCACAGAGTCCCAGGCAGCTCCTCCTGCACAGAGTTGGCACTCCAGAGCACCACCAGTTTTGCTCACCACAGGCTAAGCCTTGTTTCTGTCCTTCAGAAATCAACCTCTTCCAGCCTCCCCACCTCATCCCTGTTTGGCCATGTTACCCCTCTTTGAGAAACAACAGAGCAAGGAAGCCCACGGGATGCAGGGGTCACAGAGAACCCAAGATGAGCACTGGGCCAAGGTAGGCTTGGGCAGAGCTGGTGGGAAGTGAGTTGGCCATGGATCACTGGCTCCCCAGGGTCTGCCAAGCTGGACCTCCAGGGTCACCCTTACCTCTTTGGAGCACTTGTGGGGCAGGCCTCATCTGAGTCACGCTGTCTGGTTGAATTGCATTTAACTCTCCTAAACAATGTAGCCTGTACAGCCTTGGGGACAGAACTTAACCCATACTTCTAGAGACGACTGGCCTCTCCTGTTGACCTGGGCTCACGTGTGACATGAGACAGTTTGACTGTCCATGGCCAGCCCATCAAAGCCATGCTCCCTCCCTACACTCCTGTGTGACCTTAGGCTGCTGACTCTGCCTGGCCCCGGAGGACGTGTGCTTAGCCACTTCACTCTGCAGACATCAGTCAAAATCTACCAAGGACTGAGTGGTGGGAGTGAAGTACCACATGGGTCTCTTTTGATGTCAGGGAGCCTTAACTTGATAAATAAAAGGTGCCTTTTGTGACAAGCAGATGACGAGATTGTGATTGGCTCATCTCCGCTTTCTCAATAAATTTACAGGTAAGCAGGTGCCACACATGCTGAGATTTCTGGGAACGTGATTTTTAAATAGCAGCATCTGCATGTGATTCCATGTCAGGAAGCATACGGAAGTCAAGACCAAAAAACGAATGAAACCTTCTGAAATTTAAGGTGTCCTTCAGGTAGCAAACCTTCATAAGGGGCTGCATTTGGCTTGGAAGTGAGCAGCCTGGTCGGACGTCACAGCAGCTCAGTGCTGTGACTGATAGAGCCCTGGCCTGCACCACCTTGAGTCCTTTCTCAGGGCCTCCTCTGCCTGTGCCAGACTGCCAACAAGGGAGACCCAGCCTTCTGCTTCTGGTGGACTGGCGCTGTTCGCTCACCTGATCTCAGAGCCATTGCCTCTGCAGGGCAACCCTGGAGGGCTAGGTGCTATGCTCCTCAGGAAAAACACTCTTTTAAGAGAAAGCATGTTATAAACAGGACACCCCAGTGAGCAGAGGGTGCTGAGTTGTGACACCCTTGGAGTGCTCATCTGAAAAAGGAAAAGAAAAGAGAAACAAGAAAATGTCACCAGATGCAGGCCCTGCAATGAAGCCAAACCTCAGAGCTGCTCGAAACCACAGGTTCCAGCCCTGTGTGTCTCAGGACAGTGAGGGCTTTTTCGGGGCCCCCAACAAGGGGAGGCCTAACTTCTCATCTGTCAAGTGAAGAGCCTTCTGGACAATGTCCCTGGACCTGTGAAGCCACTCTGCCAGGCTTTTGTCAAGCCCTTGATGCATCTTTTCAATGAGTGGGTGCAGAGTATCTGAGGGGCTTCCATGGGTGTGCATGAGGTACTTGCATTGTGCCAGAGGTGGACAGACATCTGTCTTGACTTCTCGAGCAAGCAGCTGCCAAGGGGACTGAAATGCTCAGCCAGGATGGAGGTACTGAAGAAGTGTGCTAGGCAGGAAATCCCTTGTGTTTTCGGGCTCTTATTTTCCTGCAGTGTTCTGACCACAGGGCAACCTCTATCGTTCTGAATAGGGTACATACTTGGGGTCCTCTGGGAGTGCACTTGAAAGTGGTGGGGATTATGGGAAAGAATGGCTGCAGATTATGACAAAGAGGGGCTCCCTGAGCAATAGTAGAAGGAATTCTGGGCCTGAATGGTGAAGGTCAGGTTGGGGTCTAGCCTGGCAGCCACGAGGGCACCCATGTGGTGCACAGAGGCACCAGCATGGCCACTGGGAGCTTCCCAGGGGGCAGGCTGAAGATCTGGGGAGTCACAGTGATGGGGCCTACCACCATCATGGGAGGACACATCTGGGCAGGAAGCCAGGTGAAGCAGAGCTATGGGCTCTCGATGTGCAGGGCCAATTCTGTTAGGACAGGAATTAGAGAGACTGGAGCCTGTGTGCACCTGGGCTGCCAGGCATCAGGACCCATCAAGGGGTGTGGGGCTGCTGTCCCCAGACCAGCAGCAGAAGAGGCATAGGTCTCGGCCAGGGTGGTGACAGGGGAGAGTTCCAGGTGGCTCACAGTCCCCTGGGCACCCTCAGGGGAAAGTGAAAAGCCATCCTGTGGCTGCGTGGTGCTGGGCACAGGAGGGTTGCCCAGGGCATCTGGCCTGCCCTCCACCTGCCGAGAAATAGACTTAACGCTCCTTCTCCTCTTCATCTTCCCCAGGAGGTGTGGGCTGACTCTCTTAAACAGAAGACTGTAGCAGAACTGTAACTGGGGTTCACCGAGAGAGAGAGAGAATAGCAAAGTTCAAGTCTCACAAGGTTTACTGAAACCAGCACCCTCCGGCTAGGCCCTTGGCTGCCCTCAGGCCTCTTTGAAGAAAGTGGGACCCTGTTCCACAGGAGGCAGTGCTTCAGCTTGCCCATACTCGAGGCTCACTAACTCATCATC